ACCTTTTTTAAGGGAAGGGGCTAGAAAAGATGCCCTAAACATTGCCTGCCCCATAACACCTCGCCAGACTAAGGACTTGTTTACACTACCCGCCAGATCGGCCGGGATCAATCGGTCCAGCGGGGGTCGATTTACCGCGTCTATCAACTGCTGACCACTCTCCTGTTGACTTGGGTACTCCACCAGAACGAGGAGTGCAAGCGGAGTCGACGGGAGAGCATCAGCTGTCGACTTACCACAGTGAAGACACCGCAGTAAGTAGATCTAAGTACGTTGACTTTTGACTAGCTACACTATTCATACAGCTGAAGTTGTGTATCTTAGATTGACCTCGCGCGGTAGTGTAGACAAGCCCTAACACAGCTGGCAGATCATCCTACAGCGGTCAAAAAACAATAAAGAACAAAAGACTCATTCTATGAGCATGGAATGTCTGCACCCTTATGGATGGAGGTGGTGCACGAAGAACAGCTCTTGTCTCCAGAAAACTCACTTGCTACAATATTGATATTGCAGCACTGAGTGAGACTAGACTGGCTGGAAAAGGTACCATCAATGAGCTAGGAGGGGATTCCACTTTCTTTTGGAAAGGAAAAGCAGTCTGTAGGAGGAATGGCTACCTTAAAAATGCCCAAATCATTGTGACACAATCAAATGTCAGATCTTAAGACATGATTGCAAATGGGAGAGAAATTACCTTTCTATTGACAGGTGGCATAGCTTTAACCCTTTGCCGTGGAGGAGCGGGTTGTGTCATGTCAGTCATTCTTACATACCCTGGGAAGGGAAAAGTGAGCATCTAATTTTTATTTTTTTTTAAATTTGGTTTATCTCTCTCATCATATTACTCTCCAGTTTTTCTAGTTTTAGAATGTAGAAACTCCTAGGAAAAATATATTTATGACCTAGGTATTTAACTGATCTTCATCTCTACATATTGCACTCTATTCCGTGTTTAGTACTGTATTCCTAAACATGAAAAATATTTACCCCAAACAGAGATTTGCTAATTTATCTGTTTGGGAAGAAAAGATCACAGCTCCCACCTTGACAAAACACAGAAATGAATACCCTTTACTCATTGTATTTGAAAAATTAAAAATATCTGCACACTATCCTTTGAATTAAACCAGACTGAAACCTCAGCTTTGAATGGATGGCATATTCCAATAAGGCCTTATCTAAAGGCACTTGAAGACCATGGAAAACTATCCTTGACTTCAACAAGTTTTGAATCAGGTCTATAACTACTGCAAGTAGTTATATCTTAATTATTCATAAACACTTTCATAATTAGCCTCCTCTCACACTGAGATCTTTGAGGCAATGCACAAACAGGGCATGTCTGTTTTTGTATAATTTTTAAATCATGAAATAATTAGAAATCTATGTAAAGCATTAAATCAGTTTCTGTAAGTTATTATCCAATGCTTATACTTAAATGATCAGATTTAAAATAAAAGTTGTACCTATTATTGGATGTAACTTACAATTATTTGTATTACCCTTTAGTGTACTATATACAGCTATAAGACCAAAATTGTTTTTAGAGGGGAAAGAATTGCTGAAAGGAATGATTATAGAATTAAGAAGTTTGGCTGATGTATTTCGGGTATTAAAAAAGCCCAACTCTCTCCTTTTTAAAGATAATTTCCAAGTTTCCATGATGAAAAGAAGCTAGGTCTGCAGCACACAGACTTCAGAAACAGCGAGCATTTTGGCACACTTATTAATGCACTTTGTTTTGCAGATAATGAGAACATTGCAAGCTGTTTTGCTCTTTTGTCTAAAAATTCCCACCAGAGGCTCTTTTAAGCCACCATAGCTTTCAGTGACTGATTCCTGCAGAGCTCAAGTCTGGTTTTGCTGTAGCTGTCAGCTGTTTCTTGTGCTTGTTGAAGTCTGCTTTGCCATCAGTGGGAACCTAGCCAAAGTTGTGAGAAATCGACTGGCTTTAGGACAGGTGTTCCCCTCTCGCCCCCCCCTCCCTTGTGACTGGGGTTTTGATCAGCTTGTCATTGCAGAGAGCTGTCATTCTGAAACTCTTCATATGATGACATATATTAACTTGCATTGCCCCATCCTGACCAGAAGGGAAATGGAACTGATGACTGGCATATGGTAGTGGAATGAACAATCATGGTGGATGAATTGGCTCAGACCTTGGCTTGTTGAAATATTCAAAAGACTAACAATCAACAGTAGTCGAGATTCTAAATCAGAATATTCTACATCTAAATCTTAATATTATGAACTAGGTTACGATCTAGAATAACATCAAGACACTTTTTCCCATAAGTGACTGAAAAAGGAGCCTGCAATCTCTCCCTTGTTTTTCTCTTGTCTGAAAACTGGTGCACAGTGAGTGGCATTGGAGATTATTTATGGAGGCAGTCCAATCAGAACAGCTTTCTTTCCTTTGTTTTAATTTGAGTAGAAGTCACAAGCACGCTTAACAGACAAATGGAGAGCGTAGCACACGCTTATATCAGCAGAAGATTTGTACCTTAGTCTTAATCTGGCACAGTTTCAACCATATTTTCTCAAATACATCTGGAAAAGACAATTTGCCAAAGATCAAGAAAAGGTTTCCCACATACGTAAACCACATCACACATATGTAGGTGGATAGTCACATCTGCATTGAGACAACACCTTCCACCCGAGGATCACAAAATACTCTGTACACATTAATAAATTCAGCCCCACAACATTTCTGTAAAGTAGAGATTATCCCATTTTGATAGGTACCCAAACACCAGCAAATACAGTAAGTTGCCCTAAATAACACCAGAAGTCTGTGGTAGAATTGGGAATAGAACCAAGGTGTTTTTTAGTGCTCACTTTTGTATTTTTAAACCACAAAAGTAACTTTCTCCAGAGAAGAGTTAACGCTGCTGTGCACTGCAAATGCTTTTTCCTGAGTTGGTGATCCTGCAAGCCCTTGCACAGTATGCAGATAAGTTTGAAAGGGTCTGTTTCAGTTTCCATTGCAGTCAGTGGGAGCCTTCCCATTCGTTGCAGTGTGAGCAGACTTAAATCAGGCCCAGTGTAATGTTGAGCATTAGGCATAGTCCTTCACGCTGATCAAATTAAGTTAAGTTAGCTGTGCCCTTGTTTGCAAACATGCTGGGTAAAAGTATGGGATAGGGTGTACTTGAGGACCAGGTTTAATATGCAATCCTCATGTCGATAAGCTTCTAACTACCCCTTCTCTCAGGCCTTTCTCTTGCTGCTGGGCAGAAGTAACATATAGCAGTGCTCTCATTACTAATCCAAGATCCGTTACCCGTGTTGTGTAAAATCAAACCCTAACTGTATTTTTTTTTCTTTCGCAGAAGAATCTCTGGAATAGTGATAGGCATAGCTATACCTTAAAACTGTGACAATAAGTGAGAAGAAAACATCAAGCTCCTGAAACCATTTCTTGGTTTAGCTAAAGATTTCAGAGGCAGCTGTTTAGTGCATAGTATGAGGAATCAGGTGTTCAGTTGCCTTTATTGCTAGACTGTTTGCAAAAAAAATATATTCCACTGAGCTCTTCCCTCGCAGGGAGATAAAGCAGTTCTTTGAACAGTATTTCTGTTGTTTTGCTCTCAATGTGAGGTTCACCTACAGCCAAATTCTATGGTTTGTGTATGTGCTTACGTAAGAAATAATTCCGTTTCTGATGACTAAAATTGAGCAGTTTTTTAATCTTCAACACTCCATATTGCAAAAGTACCTGTTTCTGTAGTGAACATGGATGTTATATTTTATAAATGTCTTTTAGTTTAAACCTTCATTTTGGAGAGAGGTGAAAGGTTTCCTTCTCTTCCTTGTCAGAGGAGTTTCCATCACTTGTTCAGTCAGACACCAAGTCAGTAGCAAATTGGGAACAGAAATAGGAATGTGTACTTTCTATTCCTTACTCTGAGTACTGAACCACACAAACAAGTAGTCAAATCATTATACAGAACTGTGCTTCGAAAGGATGAGATTTCTGAATTAATATGAGCATGTTATACAGAATTTCATGTGAAGACAAAACAAAAATACCTCTTCTTGGTGATTTTTTTAAAAACAGTCTAGATGGAAGATGTCACTAAAAAACCCCAAACTATTGCTTTCCAATAGTAATAATAAAAAAGAAGCTTTAGTGTGTATTGAAATACCAGCATAAGGGTCTCATGATGAAACATAGCCTTTCAAACACATGGTATGGCTTCTTATGTCTTGCTGCATAATTAATAATGCAGGTATAATACATGGCAGTGCTTTTAATATATAGAGGATTAATTCTGAATTAATGAGACAAATTAATTCAAAAACAGTAGGAAGCCATTTTAGTGTAAGAAGCCAAAACAAAAGTTATACTTAAATTGTCTCAAATGAAGGTCAATCAAGGACAATGGGCATTTGGTTCATATTTCATGTGCAGATTGCTATTGTGACCTATCCTACTGGAATTACAACTGGAAGACCTCTGAACAGCCCTGAAAGCTGTTTTTCCCCCCAAATGTACCTAAATCTATTATCTATTTGTTTACATCAATAGTATATTAAGAATAGTTTCAAGCCAGAGACACTGTTTAGGAAGGACAAGCAGGGCAGAAAAGGTGGGGGAGTTGCACTGTATGTAAGAGAGCAGTATAACTGCTCAGAGCTCCAGTATGAAACTGCAGAAAAACCTGAGAGGTCTCTGGATTAAGTTTAGAAGTGTGAGAAACACAGGTGATATCGTGCTGGGAGTCAGCTATAGACCACCAGACCAGGGGGATAAGGCGAACGACGCCTTCTTCAGGCAACTAACAGAAGTTACTAGATCAGAGGCTGTGGTTCTCATCGGGGACTTCAATCACCCAATATCTGCTGGGAGAGCAATACAGCAGTGCACACACAATCCAAGAAGTTTTTGGAAAGTGTAGGGGACAATTTCCTGGTGCAAGTGCTGGAGGAACTAACTACGGGCGGAGCTCTTCTTGACCTGCTGCTCACAAACCGGGAAGAATTAGTAGGGGAAGCAAAAGTGGATGGGAACCTGGAAGGCAGTGACCATGAGATGGTCAAGTTCAGGATCCTGACACAAGGAAGAAAGGAGAGCAGCAGAATATGGACCCTGGACTTCAGAAAAGCAGACTTTGACTCCCTCAGGGAACTGATGGGCAGGATCCCCTGGGAGAATAACATGAGGGGGAAAGGAGTCCAGGAGAGCTGGCTGTATTTTAAAGAATCCTTATTGAGGTTGCAGGAACAAATCATCCTGATGTGTAGAAAGAATAGTTAATATGGCAAGCAACCAGCTTGGCTTAACAGTGAAATCCTTGCTGATCTTAAACACAAAAAAGAAGCTTACAAGAAGTGGAAGATTGGACAAATGACCAGGGAGGAGTATAAAAACATTGCTCAATTATGCAGGAGTGAAATCAGGAAGGCTAAATCACAATTAGAGTTGCAGCTACCAAGGGATGTTAAGAATAACAAGAAGGGTTTCTACAGATATGTTGGCAACAAGAAGGTCAGGGAAAGTGTGGGCCCCTTATTGAATGGGGGAGGCAACCTAGTGACAGAGGATGTGGAAAAAGCAAATGTACTCAATGGTTTTTTTGCCTCTGTCTTCACAAACAAGGTCAGCTCCCAGACTACTGCACTGGGCAAGATTTACAAATCTTCAGAAATATGTTTGAGCCCCTGGGAAATAAGTATGATCTCTGGTTTGGATAATTTAGCAACATCTGGAGAACAGGGTGAGCCTTTGTCAGAGGCAAGGAATTCATCTCAACCTTCTCTTCAATTGGATAGTGGAAAAGAGCTGCAACAAGGTCCTTCCAATGTAGCACTGTCACGCTGTGGTGAGTGTTTTCTTTATAAACCTGTGGTAATTTTAAGGTGCCTATCACATTGGTATCTAAACACTCATTGTACATCGTTCATTTACAGCCTGCCTGATCCAAAGTCCAAATGACCCAAATTAACTTCAAATCAGTGACTTAAGTGGGCTTTGGATTGGAGCCTTAGTTATAACTGGGTAACATAACTGAGCAAAACTCTTTGGTCTCTAAAAACAACGAGGAGGCTTTGTGGCACCTTAGAGACTAACAAATTTATTTGGGCATAAGTTTTCGTGGGCTAGAACCCACTTCATCGGACGCATGGAGTGGAAAATACAGGAGCAGGTATAAATACATGAAAAGATGTGAGTTGCCTTACCAAGTTTGAGGTGAGTCTAATGAGACAATTCAATTGACAGCAGGATACCAAGGGAGGAAAAAATAACTTTTTTGAAGTGGTAATGAGTGACCCATTTCAGACAGTTGACAAGAAGGTGTGAGTAACAGTCAAGGGAAATTAGTATTGGGAAAATTAGGTTTAGGTTTTGTCTGTGTTAGAGAACAGGTCAGACAAGATGATCTAATGGTCCCTTTGGCCTTAAAAATCTATGATACAATGCTTTGCTTTACAGAAATGGTTGATATGCTAACAAGGACCACTATGAGGTTTGTTTTTGTTCCCTTTTGTGAATATCTGGAAGGTGCAAACTTTCCTGACGGTGTGTGTGGTTCAAACAAAGATGTTTTTAATCTTCCAGCTCAGAGCTTTTCCCCCTCCTTATTTGAATACATCACAGAGTGTTAATGGGCATAACATAACAGTGCTGAGAGACAAACACACTTGCAGCCAGCTCTCATTATAGTGAGCACTGCTTTTGAACTCCTTAACCCATTCTTACTATTTCCTTCAAGTTAATCTGCAAACTGAAAGGAAACAACTTCCAGTTTACTATTTTTCCTTGCTTCATCTCTGTGGATGTTGTCTGTGAAGGGCTTTTCTGTTCCGTTTGATGATGTGACTGGGGAAAACTGTCATACTGAGTTAAAAAACCCTGCTTATATATTCTTCCTTTTTACCTACTTGGCTCCAATACCAATCAGATTTGAACATCTTATTAGAATAAAGTGGCATTTAACATGTTCAAAGTCAGATATTTATATAACTTTCTAGTATCAGAGAAACTACAAAGTACCTCCAGAATGTGCCTTTAACAAGAACAGTTTTCCCTCTGTATCTTGAATCTATGATTCTATGATGATGGAAAGAAATACCACTCATTGATTTCCAAACATTGTAGAATGTGTACATTCTCAGGGTGATCCGGTTGTCGCATTTATTTAGTTTTTTCAGCAGAAGTTGGTTGGAATCCAGACTATCCATGGATTCCAATAGATTAGACACATGGTGAAATTCCTCATGGAGTTAATTGACCCATAATCTGGGAAATCAGGTTTTGCTAACGTCCCCTTTAATGACTTCTTTTAATGATTATCATGCCCATTTATATTGTGTCAGACACAAATTGAACTAACAAGCACATCTTTAGGGAAATGTAAGTTTCTAGGCAGTGATGCTATCTCATTATTTTCAGTTGAGATGGCATTAATGTGTCAGTTCAGTGAAAGTTGTATGCAAATCCATAGACTGGGAACTTAGTTTTGTAGTGTGTCCGTGGGTTTTTTTTTTCTCCCTTACAAATAAGTTTTTCAGAATTGGCAACAGGTTTTCATTTTGTTTTCTGTTTTATGGCATGAAGCTTATCTGGTCTCCATTCTCCTCTGTGTGTAGAGCAGACAAAAATCTCCCCAAGCTCTGACTTACCAGCAGGTCTCCCTAGGCTGTAGTGAGGCCTGCACAGCACTAGATAAGAAAAGAGTGTACTTCAAACAGCTCGGCATTAATCAGCCGGCATGGCTTCAAGCTCAGTGTTAGAGCAAAGGAATGCAATTCTGAAGCTTGCTTACATTAAATGAAATTAAACGAGACAGACTCACTTAATTCTTGCTTTTAAAAAGCTCTTGAAGTGCTGTTTTAAACTAGTTACTTTGTGATGTCACTGAGCAGGGATGCTAATCTGGCTCATCAGAGAGTGGAAGTGGCAGAGCACTTGGGATTCGTTCATGGAATTATTGGGTGGGCCTTTGAAACAATTCCCTTCTATCTTATTCATACCTTTCCAGCATAACATATTGTACCATCCATTATCTTTAACTACAATGCTCAGCTCCTCCTCTTGTATCAATGTTCTGGGAATCCCCCTGTAAGGAATGCTGGTGATAGGCCTTGTGTTGCTCCATAGTTTTACTCTTTCTCTTTGCCCTACTACTGCATTTTTCCATATGATTCATAGGCTGTGTGACTTTAGTGTCATTGACACCTAGCAGTCTGTCCTTAATTTTACTTTGTATGCATGCTCTGAATTTGTGAGAGGAAAATCTTGGAGAATTTGGAAGAAATCAGTGTAGAGTAATGGGCAAACTTTCTTTTTTCCAGTCAATTTTGTCCGTCCTTATTATTTGTAAGTTCCAAAAAGTAAGAGGTCCAGCACTCTTGAATATACTGTGTGTAATATAAAGTAAATGCTTAAACAACTACATAGACAGCATGTAACAAATCCAGTCTAAAGTATATACAAAATCTGAATGAGAAATAATCCTCCCATAGTTATAGGAACTATTCCAAAATGGTTCAATATCGTCTGTTTGCTAATTAAGTGATTAGCCAATCAGAGCAATCAATTTATGCGAATGATAGGGCTAATAGTAAATCCCCAACTGGGTTTTAAATCCATGGCTGCAAGCTCAGAAGCATCTGTCCTAAAGATTAAACCATTTGCTCTGATACTAGCCCATGATTTATACCAATGAATGATAAGTATAGCACTTTCTTTTAAATTCAGGCACAAAGTAAAACAACAAAACTATCTGCGTTATTGACCAATTCTTTATGAATTTATTCATTTGGCACAATGACCTATAACTCTGCTGTAGGACTGCAGTGAAAACAAGTCAGTAGCACTGGGAATTGTAGCCTCTGCTCTAACATAAACAGTGATTATCCCCAGAAATTATGAAAGACACACTGTATTTTCAACAGTATCTCCTGTCCTTGGCTCAGATGTTTACCATTTACGTGTGTAGCTGCATTTATAAAACAATAATGCATTAAACTGAATCCACAAGGTTCAGGAGATAGATGGAAGGTCAGCATGACATCAGGGGAGCCATGGGTGGATGAGGGGGGAAGAAAGAAATCAACCCCAGTGGTTATGAAGAAGAAAATGACTGATATGAGGCTTTCTACTATTCAGTTGAAGATAGTGAGGAAGAGGCTTCTCTGAGTAGGTTCTAAATTAGGTTCAAGAGAAATTTTGTGCAGTCAAGTTATACTAAGATAAATCAGGAAAAATCATGCCTCCCTATAACAGAGAGTACAGCTCTGGCCAATCAAAAGGCCATGGATTTTATTTTCTTCTAGCTAAGCTTACCCACTCATTTTCCCCTCAGAATTCAGTTTTCCTGGGAAACACATATCCCTTTTTCCCTAGAATATTATGTAAGTCCCTTCAACTGGATTTAGCCATGCTTCTCTCGGGGCAGATCCCTTTGTGATCCCTGAACTGAGGGCAAACTGCTGTGGTGCGTTTTACATGGTTACTGAAATGCTCACCTGAAAACTTGGTGGCTGATGGTGATGGAGTGTCACCATCAGTTACAGTGTTGATCCAGGGCTTTGTAAACAGGAAAACTGATGGTCCAATAGTGATGGAAGATTGTGTGTTACCTGAGAAAAATTTGTTTGGGAAACATTGTATCATACAGCTGGTCATAAGATGGGAGAGAGGAGGAATGGAGAGAGAAATCACACAAACATATGTCCTGGTTTTTTATTGAAATGTCTCCAAAATTGGAAAAAAATTAACTAGCTGTACAGTTGGTTGAAAATTGGAAGGAAATTTATGAAAATATTGTGAAACAATTTTATGTGGGGTTTTTGGTCAAAATTCTAAATTTCAGTGACATTTTTCATTGACATTTGAAAAATTTCAACCAGCTCTCTTTACTTAAGGTAAATGCACAATTAACAACATTGAGAGGCAAAATCCTGTAGATTTGAAAATAATGGTGTGGAAATCGTTCTGCATGAAATAAGAATCAACCTGAACTTTTGCCAAAAACTTGAATCAAAATTTGTCTGAAGGAAGAGAAAAGGAACTGTAAAAAAAAAAAATTCATAATGTATTTTCTAGTTGTTGACTCGAGGCAGATATACTGAAAGGGCACCTTTACAGTCTGTCTAGCCTACCTGGAAAATTCCAGCCATGTATCCAAACCAGAGAGTTTGGGATATTATCTATCCTAAATACTTATGATCCCTACCACCACAGTATTTGAGCACCTGATAACACTATCATGAGGTAGGGAAGTACTATTCTCTCCATTTTAGAGACGAGGCACCCATACACAGAAGGCCAGATTTTCAGTGGTATTCAGATAGGTGCTGAGTAGGGTTTTCCAAAGCATGTAAGCAAGTTATGCACCTCCCATTGTAATCAAAGGTCTCCCATGGCCCAGGCTAGGGCTGTAACCACTAGACCATCCTTCCTCGTTATGGATTAGCAGCAGATGAGAATCTAAACATTTAGATTCATAGCTTAGTTGAACCAAATGTTATTGAGCTTTGTCAAGCCCCACTTATAATAGTACCCTACCATTGAGAAACTAGCAAGATAGTCATGGAACTACTTTTTAGAGCTGACCCTACTGTGCTGCTAATAACATCAGGTCCATTTGAGTTGTGGCTGTGTGGGGGCAAGCGGAAGTGACCAAAATGGACTTTTCAGTGTAGCCAATATTTTCTGAGCACTGGCCCATAAGTAGAGATGGTCAGAAAATGGGTTTTGGTCAGATAAGAAATTCTGACATTTCAAAATTTTGATTTTCTTCTGAATTGGGACCCAAAAAAAAATTACCATTTCAAGATTTATGTGGAATGTAAATTCCCCACATTTTGGTGTGGA